TAACATTATTATTATTGCTACTTCCTGATTGTAATTGTGCTACTGTTATGAATCATAATGTAAATATCTGAAATGCAGGATGTATTTTCATTCACTGGACCATGCCGTGAGTGCAGCCCTCCACCTCGCCCCCTTCTGAACTTGGAAAGGCGCAGGGGGCGGGCAGAAAGGCTGCGCTCATGGCAAAGCCGTTAGCGCAGCCCTCCACCTCGCACCCTGCGCCGTTCTGAACTTGGAAAGGCGCAGGGGGCGGGAAGAAAGGCTACGCTCATGGCAAGACCATGAGGGTAGCCCTCCGCCTCCCCCCCCCTACACCCTTCCACCCTCCCTTGCCCAAATGGCAAGGGTCGGCAGCCATTTTGGCAGGGGCGGGGCCAACCAAGGCAGCTTCGCGACCCCCGAAAATGGCCCAACGACCCCCCTGGGGGTCGTGACCCCCAGGTTGAGAACCGCTGCTTTAAGCCATGGTCTCCTTTCTTTGCTTTGGTCAGACTTTTCTACCTGGAATAATAACCCTGTGTCCAATTCTGGGGAAAGCAATTCAAGAAGGAGATGGATAAGACGGAAGGGATCCAGAGAAAGCAACCAAAATGGTCAAAGTCTGGAAGGAAAGCCCTCTGAGTGAGTGGCTGGGGATGTTCAGTTTGGAGAAATGAATGCTAAGAAGGGATAAGATAGCCTTGGTTAAGCATCTGAAAGGATGTCCCATTGAAGAGAAGCGGGGAAACTTGTTTTCTGCTGCTCCAGAGACCAGTGTTGGGACTCGGCAGCAAGATTTTGGGGCTGTTGGGGATTCTGCCTCAGAGGATGAGGGGAATGGCAGATTTTTTCCACTGAGTGTGTGTCTGATCAGGCTGAAACACAGGCAGAAATGCAGGCCGTAGATCAGAGAGAAGAGCTCACAGCTGCAGAAGAGTCAGAGGATGTTCCTCTTGAGAATCAGTCTTGTCGGTCTTCTCAATTTTCAGAAGATGGGGAGTTGCCCTGTGATATGAGATTAGGCCTCCGCTCAGAGACAGCAAAGGAAAGGTTAATTCGAAGGTCAGAAAGAATCTGTGAGAAGCAGTCCTTGAAACCCAGGTGCAGAAAAGATGATCTAATATCTGTTGGGTCAGGTCTGAGCTTAAATTAGGTGGTATTGTCATATATTTTGGACTATTGCTATTTTATAGCACCTTTTCTATTGCCTTTTGGGAAATGCCCATTTTCCCTTTTGTATATGCTTTTCATCAATAAATGACTGTATTTGGCTACTACTGGACAGACACCCTTTGATGCTGGGTGAAAATGTGTTCTTGGCCTAGTGTGAACAACCGGGACATAATGGAGCAATGGATTCAAATTGTAGGAAGGAAGATTCCAACTAAACATTAGGAAGAACTTCCTGATGACAATAGTTGTTCAACAGTGGAATACTTAGGTGATCCCTTGTAGTCCGAGGATGATTGTTCTCCAAGTGTAGAGTCTTGGCGGAGGGTCTGTAGATGGCTGTGGAGCCCTATTCTTGACCTGCAGGTTCTCTCACAGTGAGGACATCGGTTTCCAGGTGAAAGGAGATCCCGGTTAGGGTTGGCTTGATGCGCCTTCCTCTTGGCATGTTTCTCCCTTTCGCCCTCTATTTGTGCCTCTTCGAATTCCACAGCACTGCTGGTCACAGCTGACCTCCAATTAAAGCGCTCAACAGTGGAATATGCTGCCTGGCAGTCTGGTGGTGTCTCCTTTATTTATTATTTATTTCATCTACTTATACCCCGCCCTTCTCACCCCGGGGGGGACTCAGGGCGGCTTACAGGGAAGGCACAATTAGATGCCCAAATCACACAACAAACAATACAAAATATAACAATTCAACAATTAAAATAAAACATCAATACCTAATAAAATCATAAAAACTATCTCATGTCAGAGTCCATATATCAGAGTCCATATATCCATTCCATTCCATTGTCCTTGTCTATCGACAGGTCCTTTAGTTAGTTGTCAGCATGGCCAAAAGCTTGGTCCCACATCCAGGTCTTTAGTTTTTTCCTAAACGCTAGAAGGGAAGTCGTCGATCTGATCTCCCCGGGGAGTGAGTTCCACAGGTGGGGGCCACCACTGAGAAGGCCCTGCTCCTCGTCCCCGCCAGCCTCACTTGTGCCACTGGCGGGGTCGAGAGCAGGGCCTCCCCAGAAGATCTTAAACTTCGAGGTGGGATGTAGGTTTTTAAGTAGAGGTGATTCTATGATCCATGCTTTGGCCAGAAGCCCAAGACACCATTCATATCAAGAAAGGAAAATAGGATTATACAAAACACATATTATATGAATGATCCTGAAACAGATCCCTTGCATGAGATGTGGACCTACTAACATTTTGAGCTACAGAATTCACCAAAAGCCCAGAAACGCAGCCATGGAAGCTAAAGTGGAACAACAGCATTATGGTGTTGTGGTGTGAATTTGAGGCCACCTCCTGCAGAGAGAGAGAATCTTTTAAAAAAAACATAAACTTAGAAAGCGACAGGACGGAGGTTCTTTTCCTCGCCAAGGAGCAATTACCGAGGCTGCCGCTTTCCCGATGGCGCATCCGTCAAGCTGCGCATCAAGCGGCAAAGTCCCCGATATGGCTATTGATCCGCTTGACAATTCTATAGAGAGAGATTACCCAGGTGCTCTATCTTTAGATTCTCATTATCTCAGAGAGATACGATAGAGCAAATGAAGCCTTAAACAAGACAAAAGAGCATCCGAGCCATCGCTTCTATTATTAGAAGACTTATCAGCGCAATCTGCCACGGCTGAAGACCCCAGAAGCGGCAGAGGCTTCTCCAAGTGGCTCAAAGAGAAGGACCCCATCAATTGCCCATCTTCACAGGGCCCTGGGAGATTAAGAATGGAGGTATTGCTCCCCCTTCTATTTTGGGGGTACATAGGCCTCTCCCAGTCCCTGAACCAAAAGTGACCCCAGTTTCTTTATATTTTGGCAATGTGACCGGTGGAGAGCCATAAAGAGGTTGCATCGTTATCAATGACTTGGGCAATTGGTTGCTATGAGTTTTTCAGGCTGTGTGGCCATGTTCCAGCAGCATTCTCTCCTGATGTCTCACCTGCATCTGTAGCTGGCATGTTCAGAGGTTCTGTTGGTAGTGAAACAAGTGGTATGTATATATGAGGGTTGGAACTTTAAGTTTTACAGTCCTTCAATATAGTCGCCAGCATTGTGTACAACCCATTTCCAATGATGTGGAAGTCATAGAACACCTGTTGCAGTGCCTGCTCTGCTGATAGTTCACATGGAGCGGTCTACTGCCGCAAGAATCTCTGGAACAGTTCTGAAGCGAATGCCACAAAGTGGTTCCTTCATCTTAGGAATTAAGTCAAAGTCACAAGGGCTTAAGTCTGGGGAGTATGGCGGATGGTACAGCACTTCCCAGCCCCATCGATCGAGCAAATCAGCCACAGCCTGTGCTGCATGTGGCCGAGCATTGTCATGCCAAATGATAGGGGCATTCTGCAGAAAGTGTCGCCATTTTTTTCTCAAAGCTGTTCTGAGATGGTGTTCCAAAAATGAGCAGTAATACGTAAGGATGACACCATCACAGTCATACATGAGAATCACCATAACTTTCACATTGCTGGGGTTGTGATGAAATTTCGAACTTCGTGGTGACCCGTAACGATGCCTTTTGTTTGATTGGCATTTCAGTTCTGGCTGGTATGATGGGATTTTGGCTTGCAATAATAGGAGCATAGTGTCTAGATCTAGGGAAGTACTGCTACCCATATTCTATTCTGCCTTGGTTAGCCACACCTGGAATATTGTGTCCAATTCTGGGCACCACAATTGAAGAGAGATATTGACAAGCTGTAATGTGTCTAGAGGAGGGCAACTAAAATGATCAAGGGTCTGGAGAACAAGCCCTATGAGGAGCGGCTTAAGAAGCTGGGCATGTTTAGCCTGAAGAAGAGATGGCTGAGAGGAGATATGATTGCCATGTATAAATATGTGTGAGGAAGTCATAAGGGAGGAGGGAGCAAGCTTGTTTTCTGCTTCCTTGGAGATTAGGACGCGGAACAATGGCTTCAAACTACAAGAAAGGAGATTCCATCTGAACATGAGGAAGAACTTCCTGACTGTGAGAGCCGTTCAGCAGTGGAACTCTCTGCCCCGGAGGGAGTGTGGTGGAGGCTCCTTCTTTGGAAGCTTTTAAACAGAGGCTGGATGGCCATCTGTCAGGGGTGCTTTGAATGCAATATTCTTGCTTCTTGGCAGAATGGGGTTGGACTGGATGGCCCATGAGGTCTCTTCCAACTCTTTGATTCTATGATTTGGCCTAAGTCTCATCCAGCGTAATGATATGGTGTAAGAAAGCTTCTCCTTTGCGTTCATAGCGCTCTAAGTAGGTACGAGCAGCATCGTATCATAACCATTTCCGCATTTCCATCAAATGATGTGGAACCCATCGTGAAGCAATTGTTCTCATGCCCAGGCGTTCCTTCAGACACTGTCGTGCTGCATGACCTCTGGCACATTCAATCTTTCTCCAACTCTGTTGTTCTTGTTTTGAAAACATCTCGACAACACTTACTTTAGACCATAAGCTAATATGAAGCTCAGTTCTTCGCATCACTCTGCATGCGCGTGACATAGTTGTTCTACTCCAGAAACTTTGTTTTTGTGGCTGCCACAAAATACATTGAATGGGTTGAGACTCAACGAGATTTTCATTGAGCGAAATGTGCTGCAGGATGTCCCTCCAGCAAAGACAAAGTTTTTGCAGTTTAATGAACTTTTTCAATGTTTTTATGATAAACTCAATTAGGAAATGACATGTATAACCCAGGAACAAAAATGGTGTTACATAGTGCACCATACATAGGGGTTGGACTGGATGGCCCATGAGGTCTCTTCCAACTCTTTGATTCTATGATTCTAGTGCAATTGCTTCTTATAAGAGACCGAGGATGCAACACCCGCAAAGAAAGGAAGGGAAAGTCATTCTTGGAGTCGTGTCTTACCACAAACTGGTCGATGTCCCTTTCCAGTCCCATGTTGGGCAGATCCGGCATCATGTGGGCCACCACTTTGAACCCGGCATCTTTGGCTAACTGGAAGGATTCGCACACGGCCTTCACCGTGTGGCCCCTGGAGAAAAGGCAGAATGGTTCAGAAATCCACATGTATACAACAACCTTGCGTACAAACATCCCACCTTTGTATTGGAACAGAAGTGAGCAATTCAGAAGAAGGCATGTAGATGACATTTTCAGCCTGGTATTAGTGCCTCTCAAACAAGGTGCTGAAAATGTTGTTGCATCACTTCTGGCTGACATCTCATCAAATTTTCCAAAAAACATTTACAGATGATTTAGACACAGAATCCTGCAACGGCGAGTTTTAGACCAGTTGGTCCATGCGGCCCCCTCCAAATCTATAACTTTGCATGCATCTATACTGTAGGATTGATGCAGTTTGATACTATTTGAGCTGCCATGGCTCAGTGCTATGCAATTCTGAAGGCTGTACTTTGACAAGGTCTTTAGCCTTCTCTGCTAGACCCACCAAACTAGTACTCCCATGATTTCACAGCATTATATCTATGGTATCAAACTGCATTATATCTATTGGCTTGGGCTGATTCAGGAGGGTGGAGTCTCCTTATCTGGAGGTGTTTAGGCAGAGGCTGGATGGCCATCTGTCAGGATGGTTTTGATTGTGTCAACCGCTTTGGTACATACACACATCCTAGTTCCAATGTCCACCAACTTCTTAACGTTATATAACTTCTTATTGGTTCACTGCAGGATATTGCAAATATCATAACAATACACAGACTAAGCAAATAAAATGTGGCAGAAGCTTTGGCACAAACTGAGAAAATGTTATTAAAGCATATACCCAATATATTCCAATAAGGAATATATGTATTGCTGGTACATGGAGACTTTTGCTCTAGGATCCTACAAAGTTGCTTTCATGAATCAAAATGAGGGGGATTTAAAACTACCGAGTGACAGAATCTGTTGATATAATCAATATTAGAAATTCCATACAGTAATAATGAAATTGGCATCTGTTTGTTCCTGATCTTTGCCATCTTGTATACATTCTACAAATTTCATATTTCTTCAGTTCTAAAATTCATTTCCCCCCATGGGATGCATCTTAGAATCATGGGTGCTTCTTTAAATATACAGGAGGAAAAGGGGTGTGTCGGATAAGAGCATCGGATAAGCGAAGGTCGGATAAGCGGGACTCTACTGTATAAACTAGCTTTGATACCTGGCAATGACTAGGGAAGGTTGTTTGTAATGATAAATATTAGAAGTAGTTATTGTTTGGTTTTGGATTTCATGAATGATCCCATAAGAAGAAGCATAAAGATGTGGGTGAACTACAACTCCCAAGAGTGTGGGCCAATTTCCCCCCGACCATTCCAGCATTCAATGTCGGTCATGCTGGGTATGTATGCCAAATTTGGCCCACATCCTGTTGCACTGTAGCCTTGAGGTCACCCCTTTTAACCCAGCACCACACCAGAGTACAGTAGGAACTAACTACAGCAGTTTATTTACACACACATATACAAAAGGGGAAAAAGACAATTCTCAAAAAGCTGAAGAAGAAATGCTACAAAATAGCAGTGGCCCATATATACATATTTCAGTAATCAACAAAGACAAGGTATATGGAATCTAAGAGATCAAGATCATAGGCATAAATCCATAAGCATGCCAACAGTAGCTTTTCCGAGGCAAAACTCTTATAGGAACACAGGCAAACACAGGAGACGAGACTCATGAACATGAGAACTGAAACAGGAATTTGATTCTTTGGCAATGTTGTCTGCTCTGGAGACACCAGGAAAACATCACTTAATTTAAGCTCAGGCCCTATCAAGAAGTCATGAGGTGATACCTTTTGACACCTGGGTTGCAAGGATTTCTCCCAGTCTTTCTGACCGCCTAGTTAATCTATCCTTCACTCCCTCCATGCAAAGGCCTAATCTGATATCGCAGGAAAACTCCCCAACTGCTGAAGGGCGATTTCCAAGAGAAACGGAATCCCAGACATCTTCTATCTCATCGGCAGCTGCTTCTGGAAATATGTAATACAAATGCCTGGTTGATGCTGACACGATAAATAAATAAAATCGGCAGCTGCCGGCACTTCTCTCTGATCTACGGCCTTCAATTCAGTTTGTGGTTCAGCCTGATCACACACAGACTCAGTTAGAAAACCATCATCCCCCTCATCCTCTGAGGATTCCCCAGCATCTTGCTGCTCAGCCTCAACAGATCCATCGTCGTTTGGGTTCCCAGTGCCCTCTGGATGTGGGTGAACTATAAATCCCAACATCCAGGGTCAAATCTCTCTAAAACCTGTGAGTTTTTAAAGTTGGTCCTGTGGGGGGGGGGGGGGTCTATGTGCCAAACATGGTTCAGATTCATAACTGGCTGGGTTTACAGTGTTCTCTGGATGTGGGTGAACTGTAACTCCCAGAATTCAGGGTCAATCTCCCTCCCAAACTTTCTAGTATATTATATTGGTCATGTATGATCTGTGAGCCAAGTTGGTCCAGATCTGTTGTCAGTGGAAGTCCTTGGACTTTCTGGAAGTCAGATCCATTGGAAATTGTCCACAAACAAACATACACACAAACAAATATACATTCACACAAACATGCATACATATGTGAAACGTATTTTCACTTTTATTAGATAGATAGATAGATAGATAGATAGATAGATGATAAAACTTTTTGTTCTATTGGTAGTATTAAAATTAGTTTTTGTCTTACGACTGACGGCATCTTAGAATTGAAGCAATATGACAAATATATCATAAATTAATTGAGGTCTAAATAGTTGCCTTTTATCTGCTTTCCTCTCTGAATTGATTTCCCTTCCGCGGACTGTAAGTCTCCCAAGGCAGAGACTTGTTTTTGAATGTGTTTAGTTTACAAATGGGAAGAGAAACCAAGCTCTCCTTGCCAAAACCGAACAGCTGGGACTCCTGTATTTGCCACCATTTGAAAGCCATCTCGCCCTCCTCATTGCCCCGAGGGCTTCCTTTTCGAAAATGACGAAAGCGTTTTCACGGCCCCACAGAAAAGCTCGGGAAAAATGCAAACAGCATCTGCTACAGTTTGGGGTTTGGAATGAGAAGCGACAAGGGAGCGACCGAAAGGACACAGCGGAGTTTGAAGGTTGTCACTGCAGACAGAGTATCATAACGTTCCGTTTCCCCTTTGCTGCAAAATGACCTTAGCAGATTATTGAGCTGGGCCAATGCTCACAAAATGAAGATCAACAGGAAACAATGCAGGATAATACAATGCAAAAGAAATGAAATGCACAGATATTGGATGGATGGCACCTGGCTTGCAAACAGTCCCTGGGAAAGGGATCTAAGCCTTTTAGGAGACTGCAAACTGAACATGAGCAAGAAGTAAGATGCAGCAGCTACAAAGGCCAATGCAGAAATGGGTTCAAATCGCAGGAAAAGATTCCACCAAACATTGGGAAGAACTTTTTGGTGTTTGGAATATTCTGCCTCAAAGTCTGGTGGAGTCTCCTTCTGGAGATTTTGAAGCAGTGGCTGCATGGCCATTTGTTAGGAGTGCTTTGATGTTGTCTTCCTACTAAAGGTTAGATTGGATGACTTTGGGAGTCCCCTCCAACCATATTATTCGATGATACACATATAGAATAGGATGACACAGGTGACAGAAACAGCAGAGACGGATGAGCCTAGGGAAGTAAAGGTAAAGGTTTTCCCCTGACATTAAGTCCAGTTGTGTCCAACTCTGGGGGTTGGTGCTCATCTCCATTTCTAAGGCGAAGAGCCGGTGTTCTCCGTAGACACCTCCAGGTCATGTGGCATGACTGCATAGAGCGCCGTTACCTTCCCGCACCTGGTGGCGCAGTGGGTTAAACCCCTGTGCCGGCAGGACTGAAAATTGACAGATGATTATCTTGACAGATTAGAGAGATGGGCCAAAACTAACAAAATGAAGTTCAACAGTGACAAATGCAAGATACTCCACTTAGGCAGGAAAAATGAAATGCAAAGATACAGAATGGGGGACTGCCTGGCTCGAGAGCAGTACGTGTGAAAAAGATCTTGGAGTCCTCGTGGACAACAAGTTAAACATGAGCCAACAATGTGATGTGGTGGCAAAAATAGCCAATGGGATTTTGGCCTGCATCAATAGGAGCATAGTGTCTAGATCTAGGGAAGTAATGCTACCCCTCTATTCTGCTTGGTTAGACCACACCTGGAATATTGTGTCCAATTCTGGGCACAACTGAAGAGAGATATTGACAAGCTGGAATGTGTCCAGAGGAGGGCGGCTAAAATGATCAAGGGTCTGGAGAACAAGCCCTATGAGGAGCGGCTTAAGGAGCTGGGCATGTTTAGCCTGAAGAAGAGAAGGCTGAGAGGAGACATGATAGCCATGTATAAATATGTGAGAGGAAGCCACAGGGAGGAGGAGGGGGCAAGCTTGTTTTCTGCTTCCCTGGAGACTAGGACGCAGGAACAATGGCTTCAAACTACAAGAGAGGAGATTCCATCTGAACATGAGAAGAACTTCCTGACTGTGAGAGCCGTTCAGCAGTGGAACTCTCTGCCCGGAGTGTGTGGAGGCTCCTTCTTTGGAAGCTTTTAAACAGAGGCGGGATGGCCATCTGTCAGGGGAGATTTGAATGCAATATTCCTGCTTCTTGGCAGGGGTTGGACTGGATGGCCCATGAGGTCTCTTCCAACTCTTTGATTCTATGATTGCAGGTTCAAATCCGGGAAGAACATGGATGAGCGCTCTCTATCAGCTCCAGCTCCTCATGCGGGGATGTCACGTTGCCAGGGTTCTATCTTGTTTAGGTAGAGATGAATCAAACTCTCTCTTTCAACAAACAGTTTAATTAAAACAGCACTTACTTGCTGGCTGTTTTTATAGTCCAAAATATAAAACACAAAGATAACATGCAGCTACAGAATAAACAAAACTGACTTCGCAAAAATAACTTCGTAGTCAAAAGGGTCCAGTCCAATGGTCAAATGCCGAGAGTTCAATAGCAGAGTCCAGGGATAAAGAGTCTATACCGTAGTCAAAAGCCAGTCCAAAGGTTCAAGTTTCCAGG